CAACAGCAACAGCAGTAACAACAACAAGCATCAGCAACAGCACCATCAACAACAAGAACAAGAGGAACAATAAGAACAACAGTGGCAATAACAACAACAATACCAACACTAGCATCAAGAACAGCAACAGCAATAAAATCAACAACAATAATAGCAGAACGGCAACAACAACAGTAACAGCAATAGCAGCATAACCAACAGAAGCAACAATAACAACAACANNCAACAACAACAACAGCAAAACCAACAGCACGAGGAGCAATAGCAACAACAATAACATCATTATCCTCATCATCATCATCACCACCATAACCACAATCACCACCATCATCACCATCATCACCATCATCAAAAACAACAGCAATAAGAACAATAATAGTGGTATAGTAATAACAACAAGGACATAAATAAAATAATAACGACAAGAAGCACACGAACAAGCACAAGCACAAGCACAATAGCAGCAGCAACAGTTTGAATTTCATGAACACTGCGCGAGCGGGCTCTGCGCTTTGCGGGCGATTACCGCTTTGGCACTCACTATTGGGTTAACACCGATTTCGGCTCTATTCAGAATGGCAAAGAGACTGAAGCACCCAGAAGACCAGAAACCAAGCTAAGAACCAAGCCGTAGACAGTAGCCGTTCTGAGTTGAGCCTGAGTCTAAATCCTGTGGGGGGCTGCGAGTGCTGAAAACACTCTTGGCCTTGACGCGGGGCGGGCCATGTCCACCTATTGTGGCGTCCGGCCGTCCTGCGCACAGGCACCCATGGTGTGCTTGAATGCCCTGACATATTTGGGCCAGCACCCGCCCTGAGGACAGATGTCGGCCACACTGGTGTTACAGACAGTGTGAAAAGCTGCTCTTCAGCATGCCGGCTTCTTCAACAGGCTAAGCGGCCTGAGATATCTGACACAAACACAGACACAGGCTTTGCCACCTTGGTGACAAAAGTGCCTGAATGTCTTCGTTCTGATATGAGAAAATTTGTGTGAGTGCCCCGCAAGTAGTGCCATCCGATGTTTTCAACACAACAGCAAACTGAAGTTACTCTCCCCACCACGCGGAAGCTGGAACCCCACCGCCTACCCAGTAGACAATGCCGTAGACAGTGGTTGGGTCCAGGAATTGGGACGTGGCAGACCAGACCGGCTTAGTTCGCCTGGAAGCACATGGCTCGCAAGTGGGACCAACCCTGACAGTTCAAAGAGAGAGCCTGGTTGGCGGCTCCAAGAAGCATTGGGGCCCACAGCCTGTTCCGAAGCTTCCACCTGCGCGGCCGTCTGATCCGTGGCGGCTACAACAGCAACAACAAGAACAAGCACTCAGAGATCACAAGAGCAACACCAAAAACAACAACAACACCTCCGTAACTGCTTGCGCAATGTGTCCGATGTTTGGAGGCGTGGCTTGGGCACTTTGACTGATTACGTGATACAACCCTCCTCCTCCTGCTCCTCCTCTCCTCCTCTTCCTCCTTGTACTAGTACTGCTACTACTACTACT